CCCCAAAACCCCAAAACCCCAAAACCCCGCCAATCAATATTAACTCAAATGAATTGATTAATAATCATAATTTAAGTAAAAATCAATTTTCCCACTATTCTGATGAAAAGCTGTATAAAGGAGTCCAATTCCTAGAAGAGAGTCATGTTTTCTGATTACGACTAGATTCATAACCTATCCTCCTCCTCATCCTAGAGAAGCAACGTCTCTTCCAATTCCTCAGCCTCTAAGACTTAAAAGAGAACTATATACTACTATTTTGAGTCAAAGGACCAATTCAAGGAATTGATAAGGAATATCAAGAACAAGTTCAGAAACTCAAGCCACCATCCTCATAGAACCAGTTTCCAAGAATCGGAGAACGATGAGTTTCATGATACAAACGATGAAGAACTTCAAGTGATAGTTGATGCCACTGATGAATATATCAAATCACTGCTCAATCTTTAGACTATCATTTGTGAAGAAGTTGGGGAGATTAACTCACTAATTCAGTTCAAGCTAGTTCACAAAGAAAAGCAGAGGTCCTTCTAAAATGAGTTCCGTGTCAATGAGATCAAAACATTGGATGATTACGAGTGGTATAAATCTGAGTGGAACTCGGAGATTGTTCCCTCTGTTCGAGTCATTTTCAGCAGACAAGCATTTGACAAATCACTTCCTGGGATTCAGAAAGCAGTTCCCAAACTACAAAGAATCTTTTCGAGAGATAAAGGGCCAAAGCTAAACAAACTCATTGAGTTTAAGCAGAGATAAGATAGACCTAGATTTAACGATGTGCAGAACTTCGATAACTACCGAAGACCTCAAGAAATAGAATTCGATGAGTCATTTATCAATGTGAGACCACTCCCTACACCTAAGAACAGTTCAAGAAGCAACAATGGAGTCTTTTTCAATGAGAACTTTGAGCATTATGACGATTGCTACCATTCGCCTATCTAGAGACAGTTTAGCCAGCCTATTATCTATCAGACTCAAAATAGAATCTCAGAGTACCAATTCTAAGAACCTACATTTTAGAGAGTCTATAACTATGATAGACAACTAGACTCACCTGTCAGAAATTAATATTAAATCAAATAAGGCTATCGTCTTCATAATCAGAGAAGGCAAGCTAGTCATGGCTATAACTATGGTCTGAAAAACTAACTAGGCATTGATTTGAATGAGATTCGCATAAATTCTCTGAGCAATTCCTTATTGGATGGAAGCCCCAGCAGAAATGAGTAATTTTCCTTTCTAACCATTTTTAATATAGAATAAGTAGAAATTAAGGAAGTGATGAATATCGTGCAAGTAATTGCAACCAAAGTAGGACCTGCTACAATTCAAACAATCCCTATAAAAATACTCAGATTCAGATAATCAATCATGATGCAGACTTTGTCTTTTCTAAGATGAGAAAGCTTAAATGAATTGAGGTTTCTCTAGTCCTTGATGAATATTGATTAATTAAAATTGAATTTCCTATCGCCATTGAACTCGCTATTGCTATTGATTTTTGTTGATTATTTTGATTTAATTTTACCTTGTAATCCTTAATAAATCTAAGTTTTAATAGAAGGGGTTTTGGGGTTTTGGGGTTTTGGGG